TCATCGATCTAATAAAAGCATTCGACTCTGTGAACAGAGATGCGCTTTGGGCAATTATGAAAAAGTTCGGAGTACCCAACAAATTTCTTACAGTGTGTAAAACCCTCCATAACAACAAAAAGTCAAGAGTGTCACATCATGGATCACTGAGCGACCCATTCCTAACAAATACAGGAGTTAGGCAGGGATGTGTCTTAGCGCCTCTCCTATTCAACATATTCATGGCAGCACTCTCCATTATAGTGGACAGCAAACTGCAGGAGAGAGGATTGGGCATTAGATACAGATACGACGGCGGTCTGTTCAACATAAAAAGACTCAGGGCAAAAACACGTACAAAATTCATCACAGAACTTCAATACGCTGACGACTGCGCTCTAATTGCAAACACGGTACAACAATTACAAGAAATGTTGAACACATATACCTGGGCATACGAGGCTTTAGGCCTTAAGCTTAACATCGACAAAACTAAAATTATGTGCACTCATCATAACTATGCTATAAAAATCGGAGAAGAACTATTGGAATATGTGGCGGAATTCAATTACCTTGGCAGTTTGATTTCGGAAAAGGCCAATATTGACTCTGAAATTCAGCACAGGATTAGTAGCGCCTCAAGAGCATTCTGGAAATTAAAAGACAGGGTTTTCTACAACCATGACTTGAGTACAAAAACAAAACTTGCAGTGTACCGAGCAATTATAATCCCCACATTGTTATATGGGAGTGAAACCTGGGTGCCGTACCGCCGACACATGAACGCATTAAACAAGTTACAACAGAGACACCTTAGACAACTCTTAAGAATCCGGTGGTTCCACTATGTCTCAAACGTATCGGTCCTTGAAAAAGCTAACTGCGAGAGTATTGAAGTCATGGTAAATTGTTAAATCCCGCTTAAGATGGGCTGGTCACGTATACAGAATGCAAGAAAACCGCATACCAAAATCTCTGCTTTACGGTGAGCTTGTAGACGGTAAGAGGAGGCCAGGTGGACAACTGAAAAGGTACAAGGACATTTTCCACGAAAATTTAAAGGGGCTTAACATGCAGAATGAGTGGGAAAAAGCAGCTCACAATAGAACTCAATGGAGAAGAGTTGTAAACTCAGTTAACAGCGACAACCAAAAAGTAAAGAGGCAACAAAGCAATGAGATTTTTGAATGTCCGGAGTGCGGTAGGCAGATAACATCATGTATCGGGCTTTTCAGTCACAGAAAAGCTCATGAAAGAAAACGCCTTGCGTGACCATCTTCTTTATGTATGTCGAATACTCGTCAGCGAGTAGCGGCTGTATGTATGTATGTATTGGCAAATGAAGTTTTTTAATGACGGACGGACGGACTAAAACCGTGTTTTTTGGATTCCTGGAGTCAAAAGTTGAGAAAAGTGTTTTTGGTCATAGCCAAATTTCGTCCTAAACCAATACTTTTCTTACCATAAATTATGAAAAGTAAAAACATGTAGAGATGACAACAATATAATTGAACATCCCAAATTTAGCGCGCCTGACGAGCGTTGAACTAGTCTGACAAGGCTTTCGAAATGTTCCACATGAGCCAGACTATATTTGCAGTTGTAATTATAGTATAAAATATCACCTGACAAATATTTAAGATTGCAAAAATAAGGGCGATTGTTTCAATAATTTTTATCCAATTTTTCACATACCAGAGCATTTACCATCCCAACCCATCGGAAAACCTCACTCTACATATATATGAAATTTGCTTAGAATAAAATACCGAATAATTCTATCGGTATTTGCTGACTGGGAAAATAAGTACGGAAAATCTTCATTGTCTTTTGGACTAGCACTTTGTTTACTCACCTGTTTCGTCGAACTGCTTGGATCTATTCTTGCTTTTGATCAAATCGGTTTGACAAATTAAATATTATGACAAAGCCACTATTTCAATATTATTTTAATGAGATCAACATGAACTGTAACCGGGACGCCCGCGGCGCGGCGCCGTGAAATATATAGCGTAAAATTCTGATTTCTTCCGTATAGAGCGCAGTCGTTTTTTTTTAAATTAACTGAAATGCACCAAGTCTATACTACAATAAAAAGGGTTAAAGGAACGTATATTCAAAAATTCTTCATTAAAATGGTAATTTCTATCCAACATTTCTAAGTTTAAAATAAATTTCTTCAAATCGCAATAAGGGGAAGAAAAACACAAAAACTCTTATAAGTCAATTCGCCCTTATTATATTCTTACAAATTAAATAGCAAAATTTTATGTTTTATTAACAATTTGGAAATGAAAAGAACAAAATGATAAAGAGCGGATTTTGCTTACTAATAGAGTACATTTTGTTGGTTCACAAAGTCTTATTAAATTAATTCGGTTATAATTTTAAGATAAATACAAAATTAGTGGGCATTGAAATCATATTAAATTCTAACTAATAAATAGAAAATTATTAAAAAAGTTTAATTTTGTTTGGAGAAAAGGTAATAGAAAAACTCAAAACTAAGAAGATGGGGGAAAAATGCCTTAAAAATTAAAAGTAGTAGTCATTTCCGGTGACACAGTAATCAATTCTAATTTACGTTATATACTAACATATATCTAATCTTGTTTTTTTATGTGAAAAAAATAAAAAGTTATAGAGCTAGGTCGCTTTTGAGAAACACTACTTATTATATACAAAAACACTATATTATATACAAAAACAAAGCTTTTAGGGCACTAATATATGCTATGAAATTTACGTATTATTTAAAAATTAATACTCTTCGTTATAATTTATGAAAAAGAATTTATGGAAAATACATAAAATTTGTAGAATCACGCAAAACAAAATACCGGCAGCATCGAAACTCTGTTTGACAAGAATTAGATTATTGAGTTTTAACCAAATATTAACAAAACGGTCCGACTAAGCTGTTCGGTTGCCATTTGATGCCCCATTATTTACTAGGGAAATTTCTGTTTGCATATTGCTGCGAGATTGGCTACGCTAAAATCGCTTAGTAATGTGTACGTTAGCATATATACGTGGGCAAGTAGTCATAGTATGCACGTATTCGACATTAAGAATAGCGTAATTAGTAGGCCAGAAGTTACAATGGACTCCTTTGACTCAAGAAAATTTAATAAAAACAAATGAGAAAAAAAGTAAATAGACGAGATTCTGAAGTACCTTAAATATAGACATATTGTTAAAACTGGCAACATTTTATTATTCGATTTAGAACAAAATATGTTCAGCGAATAAAAACGTTCATTTTTGTGATAAAATGATCCCTTTAATTAAATGTACTATTACTAATAGTTAACGCTAATATTACATATTTTACAGGGACATTTTGGACAAATGGAGATGCTCTTTTTCAATCAAAGCATTACAATCAATTCTTTAGCTGTTATGTAAAATATAACGCAGGTTTGCACCAACCAACGCAGCATATTTGTTCAATGATGTGCTATCGTCACATAATCTGTGCTATCGTGGCCCAACGCATGTATTGTTTATACTTCTATATATTATACTTGTGATACTTTTTGGATGGAGTTAGAAAATCACATTTTTGTCTTTGTTAGTATTATGTAGTGGCAGGACGCCTTCAATATGGCGAACGAAAAATCAATGGACGCTTTATTAGAATAGTGAGGTACCTCCAGAAATAGTGAGGTACCTCCTATACGAGAAGAAATACTTACTATATTGGAAAGCTCGGAAAATTTACCTGAAGGGAAACTAATTTAAATATATGCAGGAAGACCTTTATAATATATTTGGTTAATTACTCGTAGTATTTATTAAATCAGTATCTTTTTTATCTCACTACTTTAGACAGTAAATTAGTATTGCAAATTGTTATTCTTCCAAGACTTGCTCGAACAAGCATGTGAAAAACTGAAAAAAAGAAAAAAATTGAACTAGCAATTGTAGCAGTCGAATCAATTATTATTATATCAAAAATGTAACACTTTATTTAAACAATAATAAAATTTTGCTGGGGCAAAAAAAGAGGCTGTCCTCTACCGGAAACACTGTGACATGTGAGGTCTATTGTGTTTGTCCCCTTTTTATGTATTCACTCATTCCCCTATCCCTGTTCCCTGCACCAACTTATATGCCCTTGATAAGATTACGAGTAAATAGGATGAGCCTTCCCGAATAAAACGTGTCACTTGCGATCCAGAGCCTCGCAGTGACATATTATGTGCTCCGCTGTTTCAGGATCTTTACCGCAGAGTCTGCAATAAAGACTTGCTTGTTACAGGTTGAACTTGTTCAGGTAACTCTTGACAACACTTTATTCCTGCTACGGGCCATACATTTAGGTATTCCTAGTATTGGCTCAGGACCAAGACAGGATGACGATGATCCATGCCTAGCTAGCTCATCGGCTCTTTCGATGCCTTGGATACCGCTGTTGCCCGCCACCTAGATTAATTTAATTCTGTTCCTTCGTGCCAGAGCTTTCAGTACACCCGGGCATTCCCAGACGAGCCCAAATTCCCCCCGAAGATACCTTTGGGCTCATAAGCGCCCCAAGTGCAGCCTGACTGTCTGAGCATATATTGATGACTTAGCTGTATAAGCTCTTCTGTTGTTTTCTCTCGGACACTCGAGTAATATTCTTAAAGCCACCACGAGTACCATGAGTTAATGCGTCGATTTGATTTGTTTAGTGAGTATGATAAGGATCGTCCATACGATTCAGTTCATTGTGTCGAGATATTTTACATACATCACATTGGCGCATTGGCATTGGCGCAATCAAAGCATTCAGGAACCGCATTAGTGCATAGTGAGTATAGGGCTTTATACCCCACCTTTAATTCCAACCTTTATTCAATAGTTTTTATAATAATTTATAATAAATAAAAATAGTATATATCACTAATAACAAATAACAATCTTTTTACCTAATGAGGTTTTACCATCAAATATAAATTACTACTTTTATAGTAGGTATGTAAGATATAACACTCATGTAAATTACAGTAGGTACATTAATTAATAGAAATCATTAGTAGAAAAAATTAGTTTAATAATGAATTTTTAAAACAAAACACAGTTCCTACATAATATTACCTATCACAATACAATGTCGCGCTATTGGAACCAAATATTCTTATATAATCATATATTAATTAAATAGTGATATAAATAAGTTCTAAATTTATAAAAATGCACAACATTAATCTGCTTCTAGTACAGTGATGTACTACCTACAGCGATGGCGAACCTATGACATGTAGGTCACACCCACGCAAGGTTTTTAACTGATTCGCGATTGCTAGGCAACCATTTGTTTGGTTACGCGGGTTTATTTAGGTTTTCTAATTTTAGAAATTTTGGCCATTGACACAAAAGCAAATTAAATTCTGTCTATCACATTCAGTTTGATCATTACAGTTCTAAAGTTACGCAAATTGTCTCATGTCTCAGAAAGGTTCGCCATCGCTGTCCTAGTACCTCAATATTGATTTCCTTACATAATATATCATAATTACATTACATACAGTAATTACATTTTGGCTTTAAAAAAATAAAATATAATAAATATATCAACTCCCACACTTCATGGTCAATCATATTCGCTTGTAGTACCTCTTTGCTATCGGAATACTTTCAGAATCATTTGATAACGACTGAAAAAAATATATAAAATTAACGTGATATTATACAAACATTTATAACAATTTTTTATTAATTAAATCTAAAAAAATTTAAAAATTTCAAGAATTGCTGAGTTTTTTGAAAAAAAAATCGGATTTTTTTGAAAATCAATTTTATTTTTTCTTGTCAATACTTTTTAGAAAATCAAAAAACTAATTGCACATTCTCATAGCCACTTTATTAGGGCTATCTGACAGTATTTTTATATTTTCAAATTAGTTGATAATTTGTGAGATACAGCGGTCAACTTATTTTTTTTTAAACTGCAACGTAGTACAATGATATGCCACACTTTATACTTTTTTTTGTTTCGGGTACATTAACAACAAAACTATTTAATATTTTTTTTTATTATTTAATCTGATCATATTCATTGCAACAATATAGATCAGCGCTAATTAACACTGAATAAGGAAAATTAACAGCACTACATAAAGTATTTAACACTATATATGAGACAGGTCACTACCCCAAACAGTGGTTGCGTTCTACTTTTACCCCCCTGCCTAAGAAGACCAATACCAGAAAATGTGAAGATCATAGACTTATCAGCCTGATGAGCCATACCCTAAAAATATTTCTGAAAATCAAACACCAGAGAATTTACAAAAAATGTGAAAGGGACATAAGCGATTCATAAATGGGGTTCAGGCAAGGGTTAAAGGTACAAGGGAAGCGATAGTTGCAACACAGGTGCCTGTCCAGAACTACTACGATCAGAGAAAGGATGTGTGCCTGTGTTTCATAGACTACGAAAAGACATTCGATCGCGTGCAACACCACAAATTGAGCTGCTCAAAAGGCTTGATATAGACCAAAAAGACATACAATGCATCAAAAACTTGTACTGGAACCAAACGGCACAAATAAAATTGGCCAATACCATGTTCAATCCCATACAAGTTAAAAGGGGGGTGCGACAGGGTTGCGTGCTGTCTCCACTCCTATTCAATTTGTACTTAGAGGTTATTTTCCAACTCTATTTGCCAACTTAGAGGTTATTTTCCTATCTAGAGGACGTGGAAATGGGAGTCAAAGTTAACGGAGTATGGATTAATAACATCCGCTACTCCGACGATACGGTCTTAATTGCAGATAATATACACGATCTACAACAACTGGTCAACAAGGTAGGAGAACAGAGTAAAGCAGTGGGTTTAAACATAAACATCAAGAAAACTAAATTTATGATAATATCCAGAAATCCAGATGTGTTTAAAAACTCCATTATACCATTTAATACAAGACCCATAGAGTAGGTAGATAAATTTAAGTACTTGGGCATCTGGCTCTCCGAAGATTGGACATCAGACAAGGAAATTAAATGTCGCATCGAACAAGCTCGGCATTCTTGAGGTTCCGAAAAGTGCTTGTCTGTTCTGATTTTGACCTTAACCTCAGATTAAGATTCCTAAAGTGTTACGTGTGGTCGGTGCTCCTTTATGGTATGAAAGGTTGGACATTGAAAGCAGCTGCCATTAATAAACTAGAGGCTTTCGAGATGTAGCTATATCGCAGAATTTTGAAGATACCTCGGCTAGGTTAATAAATGAGGAAGTTCTGAGACGTGTCAACAAACAGCGCGAATTGTTTGAATTGATTAAGAAGAAAAAAACCGCATACCTGTGGCACATAATCCGCAACCCCAAATATCAATTCTTGCATCTGTTAATCGAAGGCAAGATAGAAGGCCGGATGGGTATCGGAAGGAAGAAAATGTCTTGGCTGAAGAATGTTAGACAGTGGACAGGCCTACCCGAAGTACAGTCGTTAAGAAACACCGCCAGGAATAGAGAAGCGATGGAAAATGTTATCGCAAACATCCATTAATGGATTCGCACTTGAAGAAGAAGAAGGAAAATTGAGCCAATTGAAAGATTCAAATAAATCCAGGTCAGCAATTTAAAGATATTATTTTTAACATTTTTCATTTTGAATTTGAAATCTCAATGTACGATCTAATAATATGCATAATATTAATCGTAGTTATTATAAATAAATCAACTTCTACAAACTAGTTTCTAATGCTCTACATGTTCGAAAGGGTTACCACTCTCTCTATTGCACAAATTTATTATTCGTTCAATTTTATTTATAGCTCTTTGAACATATCTTCTTCTTATACTTCCGAATGCCTTTTGTACTCCTGATTGTAAATGTTGAAAAACATTTTGATTTCACTTTTACAAATGACGTCAAGTAATGCCACCCGAATTGTTTATTTTATATTATATTTATACAATTTTTTATATTATTTTTAGTAGCATTTGATTTTCTGTATTCAATGTTTTACCCCACGTAATTGTTAAGTTTGAAAGCTTATCAATATTGTAAAGACGAATAGATTAAATATTAAAAAAAAAACAGAGTCGGACTTGAAATTAGTGTTGAAATGTCTGAAACAAAAAAAGTATAAAGTGTGGCATACCATTGTACTCAGGAGACCGAATTCTTTCAAAAACTGAAATAAAAAATGCAGATCCGTATTTAAAAAAAGTTGGCCTCTGTATCTCACAAATTATCAGCTAATTTGAAAATCTCAAAATACTATTAGATAGCCCTAATGAAGTGGCTATGAGAATGTGCAATTAGTTTTTTGATTTTCTAAAAAGTAACGATATTAAAAATAAAATGAATTTTCAAAAAAAAATCATTTTTTTTTCAAAAAACTCAGCAATCCTAGAAATTTTTAAAACTTTTTTGATAGCATCTTGGTGAACATTGCCCCAATTTAACCATATTCGTATCTATTACGGTTACCGAGATACCAATGCTCATACCTCGAATTTGTAGCACCCTGTACAGGACCTCGATAAATGACATCCAAAGGAATACAGGGAAAAATAGATACATATTATCATAGACTAATGTCATGTACTAGAGATAGATAAGCACCAATAAAACAAATAAATCTGTCATTTAGAGCCACATTAGCGCGCAAATTTATTCCTTATGAAATATAAAATAATAAATATAGACTTTTTACTTCATTTTATGTTTTATTAGATCAGAAGTGACCTAACATAGTCGAGACAAAAATTAAATCATGTATAGGTACATACGTTCTAAACACAACAATGGAGCACACCTTTTATAACAATGGAATATTTTTTTTAATTTAAATGTAGTACCCTTTAATTGTCTATCAAATTGTATTATGCCATTTTTTACCTATCCTTTCAAGTTTTCGTAGAAAATGCATTTTATTATAATTTAGACCTTATTTATCAATATACCCATGGTATATTGATAAATGAAGTATGTAGTTGAATAATTTTTGGGCGAAAATAATGGTGATATATTTAATTGGTATACTCTTTTTCATAGTTTTCTTTTTGTAACCAAATAGGCTTGCAATATTATTATTTTTACCACCTGTACATTTTGTACATTAATTTGTTGCTTTAAAAGAAAATCTAAAATGTCAATATTCCATAGTATATTGATAAATGAGATATACATAAATAATTATAGGATAGGTTAGGTTTAGGTTGCTGAGGCTTGCGATCATGTTTGATCCCTCACTCGGAGGCCTTGGGCCCATTGCGATACCCCTGTATTGTTATACACCTGCCTCTTATTATTTCTTTGCATTAAAGCTCCATTAAGCTTGCGTCCAGCTCTTTGCAAAGTTCCCGATGTCGCTGATGTTGGCTTCTGTTGCTTCCTCTAGTCCCTCCAAAAACCTTGCCCTAAAATTTTTGATTATAAGGAAACGCATTTTCTACGAAAACTTGAAGATATAGGTAAAAATAATTTATGTGTATGCAGTTAGGCATATAGAGGGGGGGGCCACAGGGCTCGCCCCCTCCCCCCTAAAGTCTATAAATTGGCTCAAATATTAGACTTTTGGGTTAAAAATGTCGCCCTAAAAAGCATATTCTACATTACTTTTTATTTTGCCCCCCCCCTAAAATAAATTCCTGTATCCACCCCTGTGTGTATGATACAATTTGATAAACAATTAAATTGTGCATCTGATTCTCGTAAAATATACAGGGTGTTCCATTTAAATTAAACAAGTTATTGCCGTTTAAAGCTAGTAATTATTCAATATAAAATTTTCACAGATTCAGACACTCTGTATAAGGTAGGTAGTATTATTTTTATTATTGCAACACGGTATCTGATCAATAAATAAACTTCATTAAATATTTAGCATTGAAAACTGTCATGTCCTTGGAGAAATAAAGCCTTAAAATTTTTACTACAAGTTTGTTACTACGGGTGTGTTGATATAAATAGTGCCATTTTAAAAAATACAACTAGGTATAATATTTTTTCTTTATTTCGGACACTCTTTCGGACTGTATTTTGTAAAAAAAAATTTAAATTGTAGCTTTAATAGTCCTTCAACGAACCTAAAATTTACAATTTGTAAAAATCTAATAGTTTAGCTACAATACTCCGTCTCATAAGTGGTGAATGACCCTGTATAAATTAGAAACTTATACATTAGTCTTTTGTGCGATGCGGAAGAAACTTAATTTGTAGTTTTGTCTATCTCTAGGGTCTGGTACATTCTGAAATTTTATATATAATATGTCTTGGAATAATTTTCTTTAACGTTTAACTGATAGGTAACCGAGCATAACTAATTGCACTATCATAGTAAATTAGTTAAATCTCTATTTTTGAAAAATTAGAACTTTTGGTGATGTTTTTACCTAATGAAAAGATTGAAATGCTATTTTTCACCAGTTGAGGAGTTAACAATAGAAGTTCTCCTCGTATAAATATCTTACCATTATCATGTTTTCCTCAAAAAACTCAAATGTTCTCTGACCTTTCTCGCCATTGTTCCCTCTTGAAAAGATATCTATTTTATTGTCATCTCTTCGCTGTGCGATACTCTAAAAATAGACATAGATGAAAATAAGAGTTCTGGAGACATGTCCCAAAAGTTAATCTATACAGGGTGGCGCACCTCATTCGCCTCGGTTGATTATACAAAGACGGAAGATGTAGGAACAAAATATTCTATGGGTATATGTGGGAAGGCAATGTGCATAATTTAAAATTATTTTGAAATATACGGGGTGTGTCAGAACTAAGATCCATACCAAAGTATTATTTTTTTCTTATGGAACACCCGGTATTTTATTTCATTTTTGGATTCTGGACATAAAATAAGGCATTTATTATAAGGGTTTAATATGTTTAAAAGCTTTTGTTCTTGAGATATTTAGAGATATTTAAAAATATGCATGCTATATATAAAAAAAGATTATTGAAACCCTGTTGCTTTTCAGAATTAATTCTTGTGCTGACTTTTAAGCCAAAGAAATAAACTTTACTAAAAAATTTGATTGCTTTGTTTAATGTATACAGGGGTATCAAAAATTGCTGGTCTATTTTAAATAATTATTTTATGTAAACACTTTGTTATTTCAAATACAACACCCTGTGCTTTTTAAAATAAAGCAAAGCAGATTCAAAAGCTCTTTCAAGCTATATTAGGGTTTCCTATACCTATCTAGCTCAGATTTTGAATAAAGAGCAATTTTTCAATAAAATGGCAACCAAGAGGGCTAGTGTCGTCATGGCAAGTTTCTAGTGACAGTAACTATTTTCAAAATCGAAATTAGTTGATGGACTTTATTTAAATTTATACCAGTTTACTTTTATTTAATTTACCTATAATATTTTAAAATAAAAATTGAAATAGTGAGGGGAATATATAAAAACAGAAGGAAAAAATTAATCGGCAAGCCCTCAACAACTCGTAACCGTATACACCAGGGTACACCAGTGCAGACACGCACACTCACACACTCACACAACCACCCATACACTAGTGTACACTGGTGTTACTGCCTTCAGGCTTCATCAGTACGGTAAGGAATCAGGAAGCGATGAAACCGATCCCAAAACACAAAAAAACCAGGAAGCAAACGATGCAACGAGGCACCGTGTGCCACCCAGGACATGGAGAAAAAAATTGATGAAGAAACGAAAAATAAATGATGGAAAATAAAAGGAGCAAACGGGAGCCTAAAGCCCCAATTTGCAGCCAAGAACCAGAGTCGCCCAGGATTGCGGGCTTCGTCCAGAACAGCCGCGGAGGTAGCCAACAGCTACCCGCCGCAATACCCTTAACCGAGGTCAAAACAAAATAAAAATTGAAATAGTGAGGGGAATATATAAAAACAGAAGGAAAAAATTAATCGGCAAGCCCTCAACAACTCGTAACCGTATACACCAACTGGGGCTTTAGCAGGGGCGAATACAGGAATTTATTTTAGAGGGGGCCAGAATATATTTTAGGGAGGACCCAAATAAAAAGTAACGTAGAATATGATTTTTAGAGCGCCATCTTTAACCCAAAAGCTTAATATTTAACCTAATTTATAGATCTTAGGGGGGGCCTTGGCCCCGTGGGCCCCCCTCTGTATCCGCCACTGGGCTTTAGGCTCCCGTTTGCTCCTTTTATTTTCCATCATTTATTTTTCGTTTCTTCATAAATTTTTCCTCCATCTCCTGGGTGGCACACGGTGCCTCGTTTCATCGTTTGCTTCCTGGTTTTTTTGTGTTTTGGGATCGGTTTCATCGCTTCCTGATTCCTTAACGTACTGATGAAGCCTGAAGGCAGTAACATCAGTATATACTAGTGTATGTATGGTTCTGTGAGTGTGTGAGGTGCGTATCTGCACTGGTGTACACTGGTGTATACGGTTACGAGTTGTTGAGGGCTTGCCGATTAATTTTTTCCTTCTGTTTTTATAATAGTTTAATAAATAATATTTATTAAATATGTATTTATTATTCTATCAAGAAAAACAAGGGAGTAGTTCTTTGATTTATTTTACGATGACTTGTAGATATATGGATTTTCTATGAAAGAGCCAATTACGGCAAATTCATTTTCTTCACTTACAACGACAGGTTTCTGCCTAATAGATTTTTTATAAACCACACTACCAGCTCTGCGAAATAGGGCAAATAGTTTTTCAAAAAAGAACGCTTATTCCAAGAAGATATCCAAATAGGAAGATTCCAATAGATAATATCCAAATAGAAGATTTGAGCATAAGCCCTTGAGGCCAAGAAGCAATTTTTCTCACAAAATAAATTCACTAGTAACATTCGTTCTGCTAGCAGATACTGCTTAATTTTTTCTTGATAAAATAATGAATATTTAATTATTAAACTATTGTAAATTTAAGTAAACTGTTATAAATCTAAATAATAATCTCCATAAACTAATGTCGATTTTGTAAATAGTTCCTAACTGTCACTAGAAAATTGCCATAGCGACACCAGCCATCTTGATTGTGATTTTATTGAAAAATCGCTTTTTATTCAAGATCTGAGCTAGATAGGTTTAGGAAACTCTAATATAGTTTGAAAGAGCATTTGAATCTGCTTCGATTTATTTAAAAAAAATACATGGCGTTGCATTTGAAATAACGAAGTTTTTATATAAAATAAATCCTTAAAATAGATCAGCAATTTCTGGTACCCCTGTATAAATCTAAGGAAGCAATAACATTTTTCAGTAAAGTTTATCTCCCGATCTTTAAACTCAGCACAAGAATTAATTCTGAAAAGTAATGTACAGGGTGTTAATAATTTATTCTATTGTAGCAAGCATATTTAAATATCTTTAAATATCTCAAAAACCAAAGATTTTAAATATATTTAACCCTTATAATAAATGCCTTTTTTTGGGCCCAGGAATCCAAAAATGAAATAAAATACCGGGTGTTCCATAAGAAAAAATATAACTTTGGTATAGATCTTAGTTCTGAAACACCCTGTATATTTCAAAATAATTTTAAATTGTGCACATTGCCTCCCCACATATACCCATAAAATCATTTGTTTCTACATCTTTCCGTTTTCGTATAATCAACCGAGGCGAATTAGTACGTTAGACGTTTATGATGAATCAGTGATTTTTTTGAAAATTTCGATTTTTAAATGGAGGCACCTGCTCTGTCCATTTAGAATATCATCGGCATTACAGTGTTGCCCGAATCGCAATTGAACACCCAGTATATTATTACATTTTTGGATACTGAAAGTAGTTTCTGTGATTTATGATTTAACCAACGCTTATTCAAGATCATGTTTTTATCAATTTTACACCATGTTTTATTTTTTAATACTGGAACAAAATATATTAAACTTTAAATTACATCAAAAATTTAAGTTGCTCGTTTTTCATGCCGGTGAGTGTTTAAAAAAAATAATTATGTAAAGAAATGCAAGGTGTTATAGGAGTGATAAAATGTTGTATGAATTTTATGTACACTCTCGTTTAAAAACCATCAAAATTTCATATAATTCTTTGAAAGTATACCGCTTTAATCTATCTAATCTCGCATAAAAAAATGATCGATACATCATTACATTAAGTTATTTAATACACTTATATACATACGTACTTAATATTTATCGACATAATTTATTTCAAATTATCACGATAGTGTGATAGCTCATATATCAAAAGGATATTTTATGTGGTAAAGTAATTACACTATACAAAGGCGGTGAGAGGTACAACAGAGTTGAATCTCTTAGGATTCACTAAACTTACCTAAATCTTAATAATTCCAACATTGTGCCAGAAATTAAATTTATACGTAAATAATGATTTTTTCATAAAAAAAATTGATGATTCAATATTAGACTGAAAAACTTCAAGAACTGATACCTAAACTAGGTTTTTAGATTTTTGACTGGCCGTCGAAAGACGCGTGGTAATCGAGAAACAACAAGGAGAAGAATAAACTAAATTTTTTTAAATTAAAAATATTAATGCAAACATTATAAATTATCGGTGTAGTACTAATACTTAATATTGAAAAACAGAAATTTTGATGTTGATGATGATGTTTTTTTGATTGAAACTATGTTTCTTTCTTTAAAGTTTTATTAAATTAATCCAACGGAGACTAATTATTGTCAGCAGTGGCTTACTAATGAACGGAAGCAAAAAAAATACAAAGATCAAAGAAAAAAACTATTTAAAATATCTAAATTCAACTATTCGAGAACACATTAGTTTTTTAAAACAGTAATAATATCTGCGTCTACAAAAACCATTAACTTTCTGTTAAAATGACATTATATAAGTTAAAATTCAAAATGAATAATTACTGCCTAATTGATAACAATTACTTAATAAGGTAAAACCAAAAATCTTTAAAACTTTCTGTATGATTAGTTTTAATTTTTAATTTGTTTTTTATTTTTACGTATGTTATGTTTATTTATGTTACGTTCTTTAAAATCAAAGACGCGATTGCCATGCATAACTAGCATATACAAATGCATGAGCAATACATTTATTTTTATTAGATTGTATTAAAAAACCCTCTTTTATTTGTCTTCTAGAGGCTATCGCTTCTTTCATTATATTTTTTGCATTGTTAAAATCTATTCTGTGCCCTGTGTTCCATGAAAGCTGACAAATCGTAGATTTGTGAAAGTCGCCCTTTTTAAATAATCTTTACGTTCTTTAATTGGAACATTTAAGGGTCTAGATGTATTGCTCATGCATCTGTAGATGTTAGCAATGTATGGCAATCGCTTCATAATAATATACGTAAAAATTAAAAACATATTAAAAATAATCATACAGAAAGTGTTAAAGCATTTTGGTTCTCGATAAAAGAAACACAATTTATCTTTACCATTTTTCAAATAACTCCAAAATAACCGAGTTATTTTAGTTTGAAAATTTCCAAAAAAATATACTTTTTGCTTGAATTTTGAGAACCACTGGATCTTTTGTGGGTTTACTTTCTTGTAAATTTAATCTACTATCTATGTTGCTATATTATCAAGAAATTATAATTTTTAACTAAAAAATAAAAAAAATCCAAAATTTTTTTCAAAAAATTACAAATTTTCAAAAAAAGTATTTTCGCGAAAAAAACCTCATAATTATTTTTTGGGGATCGAAATATACTACCCCTAAAAATATTTGACTTATTTAAGACTCATCAGAAAGCAATCGGCTCGGTCTGGCAGTAAATACACAAATAACCAAAATCATGATCGTTGATAGGCAACATAACAACCATCCAAATATAAGTTGTATCGACCGCTTTGAAGTCGTTAAGTCATACGTATACCTGGGATCACTATTGACAAATACAAGCACATCGGAAGAAGAGGTGAAGCGTAGGTGCAACATGGCAAAGGTAGATGTTGGGAGACTGGCCAAGATCTGGAAAGACCGCCAGATTTCAAGAGCCATCAAAAACCGGCTAGTCAACTGTTTGGTACTCCCACTATTGACGTATGGCTGCGAATCGTGGACTCTCAGGCAGGCGGAACGCAAGAAGATCGATGCTACCGAGATGTATTGTTATAGACGTATGCTCCGTATCCCATGGACTGAACGCCGTACAAACGTTTCCATTATAAATGAACTTAATATTACTAACAGGCTTTCCTGTAAAATCCGACTAAAGCAACTAAAATATTATGTCCAAAATAATGTGGAAAAGTCCAGACAAGGGCGAGGGACGTCGACCACGTGGCCGCTCTCCAACTCGATGGATAGACCAGATCACGACTAGCTGTAGCAAGCCAATGCACGATGTCATCGAGATCACCAAACACAGAGGCACATGGAGAAAAATCATCCATGATGTTACGCTGACCACTGCACTCTCTAATGGGGGGGTCAGGACTGAAGAGAGAGAAGACTCATCCTGTAGAGAATCACCCACCAAAGTTATATATACTGCATACTAAATGAACTAAGAATTGCTTCTTCTTTTTGCTGATCATATTAATGAAGGGTATTGTAGTTTTATAAAGCGTATTAATAAAATATATTATGATGTTCGGTACTTATGCCGCATCCAAGAATAAAATAATTTTAAAAGTAATAAATTTATGACTAAGATAAATCATTCTATGGTATCTTAATTTAAGTTCACATAACATAATCAATTATCCTGTTTGGATTATCGAGGACACTATATTATATATAATTAATTTTGTTACACTGGCGTGTTTATTGCAGATTCGATTTTGGAAGATTATCTATTTCAAAATATAATAATAAAATTTAAACATTAATACAGGAAATTCCATGGGTATCTCACTGTTGGAATTACATGGATATATTCTTGGCAGTGGCTGGCATCATTTTCAGCTTATCAGCAATTTTTAATTATGATGTAGCTTCCCTCACATATTTAGATACTCTCGTTGTAGTTGGACCCATTGTTGTCTATTGTTAGCTTATGCGGGCCCAAGCTATCCCTGCTAATTTCCTAATATCATGGTCCCATCTCAGATTCGATCTTCTTCTAAGTCTCTTAGTTCCTCGTGGGTACAATGCTGTAATTTTTACGGTCCATATGTAATCCGTTCTTCTTGCCAAGTGTCCTGCCCATTGCCATTTGAGGGATTTGACTATGTCATTGACATTTAGTCGTTGGCATCAGTCGAATTATATGGCAAATCTAGGCAGTTTTCTTCGCAGTCATTAGCAGTAAAATGTTATTTTGGCAGTACATGTATATTTTTTACCCAAGTGAGACAACCCTTGAGGAAATTAGAATATATCCAAAAGCAAAAACTTGATTCTAATAGATTTAGATTTTAGGAATTGTCTTTAGATGAGCATTTTGTTTTATATCACAATAAATAATAACAAATTTCACTTGTTTCCAATAAGCATCTAATTTTTTTCCAGTAATCAATAAGCATTCAGCTAAACGTAATTTAAATAAAAATAAAAAATCATAAATTTGAATAGAATAATTTAGATGGGAATCATTCGATTGAATTTGTACTTAGTTGAATTAGTAATTAGTAATTTTTGAATCAAAGTATACTTATGAGTGAATACGTTTTGAATAACATATCTAATTTCAATTACATAACAATTTTTGTAATTACTTTTACTGTTAATGTCGATGCAACCGTTTCATCCACTTCTTCATTAAAAACGAGATTTGAGGTTTGTTTGTATTGTCCACTATAGCTAACTATTGTCAATTTATCTCCATCTATATTCATTTCTAATATTGGCCTTAACTGATCAACTACTTTTGCTTTTTCCTCCGCTATACCTGAAATATAAAAAAAAATATATTATATGTGAGATTAAATGCATTAATGCACACTATGTATGTATAGTACAATGTGCAAAGCTAAAACAATATATAATTCTTATCATGTGTACCTACATCATAAACTTATTGATCGTATATTTATCTGCTGATAAGCCTATCTATAATAATATTGTTACATTAACTTTAAATTAAAACAACATTTGCTCGTAAAGTCACAGGTAGAGTGTTATAAATTAGAGTTGTTTATATTAATTTTAGCCGACTGGATAGTTTTAAATTACCAAAACAACTGTCAATAGCACGTATATAGAGTGCAGTATAGTTGTTACAAAAATCTCTGTTGATATCATTTATCTTAAGATTTCATATGTAATTAAACATTGGATATTTATGAATTATCTGTTTATTTAAGAAAATTATTCTTAAGCCCCATATTTACCTACTATTCGCTGATTCGGTTCGTTGGTTCGTTTGGGAATTTGTCCATTGTGTTCGTGATATTTATTTTTATGGTTGGCCCAAAAACCACCATTCCGCCGAATCGCCGCATTGACGAACCGAATCAGTCAATAGTGAGTATGAGGTTTTAGTAGATATGAACTGAGCATATCTTTTCTTTTTGTTATTATTTTTTAATATGCTCGTTAAGAACAATGTTTTTCAAAAAATTTTACTGGATCTAAATCTTGACGCTGCCAACCTCAATTATTACATGACTGGATTTTTCAGCATTGTGCAAAAATTATATAAATATTTTTTATCCTCTACCAAAAGATGAGATCTTTTAAAGAAATCTAACCTTAAAACCATGATCCGAACAAAAAAGATGGTCAAGCAAAATGAAAATAAACAAAAATTGGCATACAAATTTATCCGAAATTTCTGCTTTAAAGCTCATACCTTTAAATATCATATCAAATGGTACCTACATCATTCGATCAGAATATGGCGCTAAATCAATAGGTGTTATTATAGGTGTTATACAATAGTAATATAAACTAATTCACCACAATACACCAAAACACTTTACTTTTGCACTGGACGCCTCAGTTTCAATCATCTGCTAATGATGCTAACATGGTTAGCAAAACGCGCGTCCAGTACAAATGTAAAATGTTGTATGTATTGTGGTGAATTAGTATTTTATTTTGCTGCTAAATGTTTTGCTAAATATGCACTTATTCATTTATTTTTTCACTAAATATAGGCATGACATATATTATTGACAAAAGTAAATTTTGTAAAAACAAGTCAACAGTCCATCGATATGAGTATACAAGAAGCTTAGATGCTTAAAAGGAATTAAAGAAGTTTTTGACAGAAATTAGAACCGATAGGAATTTTGAAAAATTTTGTAAATGATACCATATGAAAATTGCCGAAAGATTAGATGTCGAAGCTGAATTTTAAACCTGATCCACGCTCCTAAGAAGTCGTAAAACTCCAAAGAGTTAATTATGAACACTGGCCATACTATAAATGGTAGTAATTGACAAGCGGAAGCGAACTGTTTACTTATATCTGTTTAGGAAAATACTATATTTAAAAATTATATAAAACTGGAGAACATATTTTAGTCCAAATTTGAAAAATAAAAAAAATGGTTACGTCGAATAACGACGACAAAAAAAGGCGCTTCGTAGGTTTCGCACGCAGGCGCTGCCAGGGGGCGGCGCGGCCCATATTATATGACATGTGAATAATTTAATATTTAAAATAGATATTCACATGTCTTATGTTACAGTGGTTATGTTAATAACTAAAGACGTTTAAGTACAACACTTAGTTACAATACCGATTTTTTGACAGGCATTTTTTTTCGTCTAAAAATTATTAATGTAAATCTTATTAATGTTAGGTATAACGTGTTTGATATCAAAATTCATAAAATTCTACGGTATGAAGAGATAAGAATTTAAGTATGTAATAAAAAATGGGGGAACCCATTTAAAAAAAAGATGCTCTCAGCTTCCGGTCTTTCAGGAAGTGTCGCCATATTGAAAATATTTTGAGTCGATAGATCTCGTTGTGAAACAAAGATGTGCAAAAATATCCGATCAAGATATCGTAGTTCACTAGAAATTTCTAATGCACGTTCAGCCTGGGACACCTTCTATATGAAACTGTATGATCGAATAAAAACGGCGTCAGCGATGGCTATGAAATGAAGATCGCTGTCATTTTATATGTAAGATTATATGGGAAATGTTGTCGATCGTCATTTCCAAGCCAGCTGGACGCCGTTTTTTTTCGACTATACGGTATTTATTTATGTTACTAAAGATCGATTGATAGTAGATATCAGTTATTGTATGATCTAGCTCAACAAAGTCTAATCATAAACATTATTTTATTATTAGACTATTGTTACAGCAAGTTTTTGCAATGCATTTTGTTGTTATTACATTCAATGAAAATTGGATTATAGAAGATTCAAAAAACACTAATAAAACTATGCGATCTGGCGTTTTTACAAGAGACAAAAAATGTAGTAAATACTAGAGGGACCATTTTACGAAAAAAAAAATATGTTGTCGGTGGAGTTAAAAAATATTTATACTGAAATTTATGTAGGGGTGGGGTAGTTTTCCCTCTTCCCGTACTTTTTTTATTTTTGCGTAAGTCAAATATTAAAGCACTCAGCAAATATAGTCACCTAGAATTCCATTCAAATCGGAATAACGGTTCTGAAAATATCTTAAATAAAGTGTTTATTTCTTTAAAGTTTGATGCCCCCTAGCGGACAAACGAAGTACTTTTGTATACAGGTAAATTTTGCCCAATGAACTTATTTTGATTCCAAAAATACGAAGTAGTTCTATACCCACGAAGTAGTTCTATATCCACAAACATTGGGACTCCCTGTATAAATAGTTACTTTTTATTAAATTGCTGAACAATAAAAAACATGGAAATATGTTAAATTTTACTTATTCATTTAACTTAATTTATTCTTAAAATTTCCACAAATCTGGCTAAAATTAATTAAATAATTGCTGGGCCGAACACCGCATGTTCCAAACTTCAGAGTCACTTCTAACTCAAATGATTTATATAATAGAACTACGATATCTAGGGTTATCCTATTTTGCCCTGACAAACTCTAACAAATATACCTAAAGTAATTTTGAGTTCAAAGGCTTATACATGCTTGTGTGTGTTTAATTAAAGTAGGTATGCTTATTTAAACAATTAAATTACGAATGATATAAAGATTTCTGTTAGCTAATTAATTCTTTGTAGAAAACTGTCTTGGCATTTATTTTTTATTAATTGACGTTGTTTTTTGAAATAAATATTATTTAAATTATTGTAGTATACATGGCTCTGAACGCGCGACAGAGGAAATCTCATGTAAATTTGGAAAAGGTAAAATATTATCTCCCCAGATTATTTTATGCAAAAATTGTAAAACTTTTTGAAGAGGCGTCAAAATTGTACTATCGTCTAGCACTTCGTTTTATATAGAATAGGCATCTAAAAGTTATTTGAAAAAATATACCTTCAAATTACTAAATATTTATAATACGGCCCAGAGAAAGCTACAATTAAAATACCAGCAAAATATGATTTTGTCATTTTCAAATTCGATTGACCTTTTTTTTTGTTTTCAAGAATTTCTGTGGTTTGAAAAAGATGATTATTTTTTTTCTGAATTGGAATGATTATCTACAAAAGAATTAGTTGAACTAAGAATAGTATTCGCGGTGTATGTTGTTTGATGTTCATTACTCGATCACTCGCAGGCCTCGCTCTCATATCACATACATCCACAATAATTCAAGGGATAATCGAAATATTTGTAACAAAACGAACTTTATTAAACTATACTAATTAATAAAATGTTTACATAATTGTCCATTCACAGCCAAACAATGCCCCAAATGGTTGTAAAATTCACGCTTCCCAATAGAAAACTGTTAAGGGGAGAATATTTAGCTATAATTAAATTTCTGTATTTATTATGCCCATAAAGACGGTTTTCGAGTTTGCTCTACAGGAAGAAGTCGTTCGGCGAAATATTCTGTAGTCTTTTCCTACTGTATCCCCAATAAACGGGTGTCAACGTTTTTCTTTTCTTCAACATGAAGAATATTTAAATCATTGCTATTTTCTTCTTGTTCAATTATTTTTGTCTTTACACTTCTATGTACCTTAGTGCCTTTAGTTTCAAATATCCAGTTTATTCTTTAAACTGTTGACTTATTGTAGGCTTTCCGCAGACTGAGCTATATCTAACACAGCGGGAATACTATTTCCAGCAAAATGCCGTTTAACCATCGTAACTCTGCGAAATTCATAATTATTTTATACCAAATTACACTGTTTGGTACCTTCAAATTCTTGTTAACAAAATGTGACATCGAATTTGACAATGACACAATCATATTTTTGCTGGTATTTTAAGTGTAGCTTTCTCTGGGTCGTATTATAAATTTTACTAATTTGAAGGTAGATTTTTGCAAATAACTTTAAAATGACTATTCCAAATGAAATAAAATTACCTATATAAACAAAAATACAACTCTCCAAAAAAATATTTTATGGGCATTTCGCCACTGCACTGCACGAAAATCTACAAAATAAAATAGTTATTTTTTGTAAACACATCTGCGTTAAATCTAAACGGACACAGCTTGTCAGAAGTTATTATGTTTACAGTTATACAGGGTGGTCCGAACTGTATTCCGGAAACTTCGGCAGCATATACTGCAGATAAAAATAAGTAAAAAAGTTCTTATAAATGTATGTCCTAAAATGCTTAGTTTCGGAGATACAGGGTGTAGTAGTTTCATTTTTGTTTCGATTTTATCCAAATAATTTCTGAAGTAACATTAATATTTGAATAAAAATTGGTGTCTGGAAGTTTTTTGACATGAGAAATTTGGGGGATTCTGATATCAATATGACTCTTATTTATAGGGGGCGCCACCTACATGTGTTTTAACTGTTTTGAAGAGTCATAACTTTTCGTCCGTACCTGTATAAAACTACGGAATAAAAAAATATACATTTCCGTGATTTTTTACGTAAAAAATGTCTCTTGGTAAAAATCGCTACGAGCAACCGTTTTCAAGATATTTAGAATGGAAATAGTCAATACATGTCATTATTCACAAAAAATATACACGTTGAGTAGATAGTTATTTGACTGAAATAATAAATTTGGAAATTTTTATTTTTTTTAAATTAATCATAAATTTTTCTCTGAAAAAACGATGACAAAACAGTTTGTATTGAACTTCTGGCACAAAAATATTTCAAATTTATTATTTCAGTCGAAGGTACGAACGGAAAGGTATTATTCTTAAAACCAGTTAAAACATATGTACGTGGCGCCCTCTACAAGTAGGAGTCATATTGACATCAAGATCAAATTTTTCATGTCAAAAAAACTCCCAGACACCAATTTTCATCCAAATATTTACTTCATAAATTATTTGGAAAAATTTGAAATAAAAATGAAACTTCTAGACCCTGTATCTCCGAAACTAAGCATTTTAGGACATACATTTATACGAACTTTTTTACTTATTTTTATCTTCAGAATATGCTGCCAAAGTTTCCGGAATACAGTTCGGACCACCCTGTATAAATTTGCCTAACAAAGAAAAAATGCTTAACAATAATGTCATTTTAACAGAACGACAACGGTTTCTTGTAGACGTATCTGTTTTAAAAAAGTAAAGTGTTCTCGAATAGTTGAATTTAAATATTTTAAATAGTTTTTTTCTTTATTCTTTGTATTTTTTTGCTTCCGACGATGGAAAGAGATAAACAGCGTTTTCAGTTGGAGCGGAGCGTCCGCGACTTCGAGCAAGTACCATGAGTTTATATGAACGATTTTATTGAAAAAACATCCGCGCGGACGCTCCGCGCGTACGGTCCGCTCCATCTGAAAGCGCTGAAACTTTCCGAAACGTTAAGCATTTTTTTAGTCAAATTTGTATAATTGTAAATATAACTTCTGACAAGCAGTGTACGTTTAGGTTTAACGCAGAAGTATTTACAAAAAATAACTATTTTATTTTGTAGATTTTCTTGCAGTGCAGTGGCGAAATACCCATAAAGGATTTTTTGGAGAGATGAATGCGCAGACCATCTAAATTTCTGTATTTAATATGCCCATAAAGACGGTTTTTGAGTGTGCTCTACAGGAAGAAGTCGTTTGGCGAAATATTCTGTAGTCTTATCCTACTGTATCCCCAATAAACGAGTGTCAATGTTTTTCTTTTCATCAACATGAAGAATATTCAAATCATTGCTATTTTCTTCCTGTTCAAATATTTTTGTCTTTATACTTCTATGTACCTTAGTCCCTTTAGTTTCAAACATCCAGTTTATTCTTTAAACTGTTGACTTATTGTAGGCTTTCCGCAGACTGAGCTGCGAATATATCTAACACAGTGGGAATACTATTTCCAGCAAAATGCCGTTTAACCATCGTAACTTTGCGAAATTATTTTATACCAAATTACACTGTTTGGTACCTTCAAATTCTTCTAAACAAAATGTGACATCGAATTTGACAATGACACAGTCACATTTTTGCTGGTATTTTAAATGTAGCTTTCTCTGGACCGTATTATAAATTTTACTAATTTGAAGGTAGATTTTTGCAAATAACTTTTAAATGACTAGTCCAAATGAAATAAAATTATATACACAAAAATACAACTTTTGCACAAAATCATCTGGGGAGATAATACAGGGTGGCGCCTCTCATACACCGTGGAGGCTCCAAGGAGAACGTTTGTATTGAAATGACATTTTGTGAGCTTATGTAGGTTAATTCAGAGCGCTTTTTAACTCCACATAAGTCTTTTAAAATGAAAAGATCCCTTTGAAAAGACAATAATTTTATGCAGTTAACAGGAAAGGAAGAATTTTGAGCATTTGATTTAATCTAGCTAATTTTTGTCGCATAATTATAGGTTTATATCCAGTTTTAACTCTGTAATAATTAAAATATGTTTTAAACGTGTATCTTTTTATTACCCTTGAGATTTTACTCTACAATCTTTAATTTTTGTTAAATTAACAAAAAGTATATCACACAGCCATCTAGATTTTTTTCAAATAATATAGATTTACTGACGCAAAATCATAAGAATTAAAATATCTGGGAAAATCTTTGTCTGAGGGGTAGGCAACCTTAATAATATTTTAAAGATATATAAATTCCCCATTGAACACCGGAAAAATATAATGGGCGTTCCATTTAAAATAAACGAAAAACTTGCTTTTAAAAGTGACTAATGTTAATTTTGTCTCACCCTGTATAACTTTTCAGGTCCAATTTCGATTTGGTTTAACATACAATGGTTACTGTAATTAAATATCAGGCTATACAAGATCAACTAAAATTTAGGTAGCTGTTATCGAAATTTAAAATTTTCTCTTCATTTTCACAAAATGTGAAATATGTCAAAATCAATCAAAATCATGTCAACATTTTAATTGTATGCTTCTTTAATAAAACTCATCTTTATTTTATTCCTAGAATCAGAAAATCAATTAATATATAGGGTATCCCATTAGAAAAAACACAACTTTGATGTGTAACTTTATTTGGGGACATCCTGTATAATTCTATATATTTTTATAAAATGCCTTCAGTTAACCTACATATGCTGCCAAAATTTCATCTCCATATAAACTACCGTTCTCCTTGGAGCTTCCGCGGCGTATAAGAGGCGCCACCCTGTATTTGACTTTTTCAAAATTATCATGGGATTTGGGATTTTCTATGTCCCGTGTTCCGATGCACCACACGGTATAGCGGATGTGTAGTTTCTCTTTTTAAATGGAATTCTCTTATTTTCACTTTTTGAATGAAGCATTATTTCTCATAATATTTAAACTAGTTTGAAACTTGTTAAGAAAACTTTTTTATAATATAACTTTCATATATTGTATTTTTTAATATTTCATGTAAAATATTCAAAATGCTTGTTTATTATAACTTTTTATATAATAGATAATTTATATCAAATGTATACAGTACGTTAATTTCAAGTAATTATTAGCTTTTATTAAACGACTTAAAGGATTAGAATGATGAAAAGTACTGAAAGATCATTTTATATTTAATTATTTAAAAAAAAATCTTTGGATTGATTTTCTTTCGGACTTACCAAGAGCTACGAGATGTTCCAAAAAGTGTTCGTTTTTCTCCAACTGAAATTTTCCAGATATAAGCATGTTTTCCAAAAATATTAACGGTGCAGTTTCAGGCCTATAAACTTCACTACTAACAACGATGCGGATATGACTAAAACTGTTGGGTTAGGTAAAATGTATTTCTTATCTAAAGTACACTTTGTGATCGAATGTTATTAATCACCCGTATGGCTTTTTAAATACGATATATTATTGTAATACTAACTAGCATCGAATTTTAGTGTGAATTTGGTTGCATATTTTCTCTTACTTTATGTACAAACATTTTATACAGGGTGTGGCCCAGTGTTTCGAAATAGCCCCATATCAGATTTCCTATTTGAGATTTTCACTACAATATTTTTTTAAACACGTGAGGAATAATATTACCTTAAAAAAATAATAGACACACACGGTGATACAAATATTATTTACTCTAAAGTTATTCAGTTATTCAAATGTAAGATTTTCTATGGGAAAATAACAAACTGTCATATTCTGAATAATTGAATCGAACAGAATAATATTAAAATACCAGTTTTTTTTTTGAAACGTGAGCATATTTAAATAAAATTTTCTCTCTGGCTGTTTCTGAAAAGTTGCTCACTCCTATAACTTCTTTGTAACATGTAACAACCCACGATATTTTTTTATTTCGGAAATTTGTTTGCCAAGTTTAATGTGTTCTACTGCGTTTTTCACTTTTAGCCCTATTTTTATGATTTTTTTTTGCAAACTGTATATAAATCTATCAACTTTAATTTATGAGCTCAGCTATTTTTTATAAACTTTAGTATTTGGCTTGTTATACATATTTAATTGAAGGGTTGTTTCTTACCCTAACTTTAAAACACCCTGTGCAATAATTTCGTGAGTAACTTTTCCCTCCTGAACATTTTGTTTTTTTATTTATGTCAATACGTGCCTTGCTTAATATTTAAAAGCGAAATGAGATATCACTAATAACTAAGTGTACAAACAAAAAAATTGAAAAAAATACTCTAATACTTTGTATTATCTCCCCCGGCTGCTATAACTGTCTGTAGTCATTGGTTTATACTGTTAATGAAGCTACAAATATAATATTGTTATGTTTTCTTCTTCAAGGTCCAAGCGACTTATTAAGATCAATGACTTCTGCACAATCTTCGGCACTAAGAACCATATTCATTCGTATACAACAATAATCACCAAAGCCACCTCGTCATTATGAAAAATAACATCAAAAAGTAACGACAATTGAAAAAATTGCAAAATGTTTTGTGTCAAGTTCATTTTCTTTGTCGCAAGTTCAAATAACAAAAAAAAATAATCAGGAGACATGGTTCTGACCAAAAAATAATATGTTTATTCCAACCAGACGAGAGAACCGTCCTAGAACGGTAATTTCCTATCAGTCAATTCATTTGTTAATCTTGACAAACGATCAAACTTGTCAAACAATAAGTGGGCGACTAGAAATTACCGTCCCAGGATCGGTTCTCGGTCCGGTTGGAACGAACCTATTGTTTTAGGAAACTCGCTCACGAAATGATTACAAACAGTGTTTTAAAGATAAGGTTAAAAAACTCTTCGATTAACTCTGTATAATAAGTCAAATACTAAAGTTTATAATAAACTGAGTTTACGAATTAAAGTTGATATATTTATATACAGTTTGCTAAAAAATGCAAGGAAATATAAAAAAATATCACATTTTAAACTTGATCACAAATTTTTCCGTTTCCACTTTTTTTGCATCTGAGCATAGATATCACATAGAAAACCTGATATGAAGCTTTTTGGAACACTGTACATCCTGTATATGATTGTGTATTTGCTATTGTTATTGTTTATTTAATAAATATACTAAGGATTAATTAAATAAATTTATTATTTGAGTTGAGAGTTTTATTTTGATTGGTAAATGTAATAAAAAATAACCAAAAAGAGAGATAGATATAAGTACTTAATTTACTAAAAAGGGTTTTGTATATTTTGGTTAATATAATCAACTTGTTTATCTATAGGGTAATTGTTACTATATAGGGCGTCTCTCTTACCGCCAAATTAATTAAAATTGATTTTTTATCAGTGGATGTTTCAATGACACATACCATAAGGCAATGGTAGTAAAATATCTGTAGATAAGTATTCACAATGGGATATTTTTCATCCTTACAAAGCAGCAGGAGTGGATGGAAATTCTCCTAGCCCTTATTTCTAGGAATATTTCTTCTATTCACAATACATTAAACATTAACAGAAATAGCTTAGGAGATATACCAACCATCTGGAGAACAGCAAAAGCAATATTCATACCCAAAAGAAGGCCAAACAGACTGGACGAGCCTTAATGTCATTTAGTCCTATTAATCTCACATCGTTCATACTAAAAACGATGGAGAAAGCAGTGGACAACCATATTAGCCAAAATCATCTAATGGTTAAACCACTCTGATATTACCACGGTTACGGCTTTACTCTACGATTACGGTACCAAAAAGGATGCATATACAGAAAAAAAATCGGTAGCTCTCAAAATTTTATAAAAATAAATGATTTTTTTTATTGCCAATGAATTATTTTAGAATTTAGAAGGCCTTCTTAATTTAGAATTATTAGAAAAAAAAGAAAATATGTTTCTTTTATGGAGATTTACCAGCCCTGAAATTATTTGCATTTATTTAAGACCCATCCTGTATAATATGATACCAACTGAAGCGTTTTGCTTGCTACCAACAATCTGCCGGGTTTTGTGTAGGTGTGTTAGCCTTTTCGGTTCTACTTTTTTTTTTTTCGGTGAGGAGGGAAAAATCTTGCATAAGACACCCACAACTGGGTAGTGTCGGATTCTTACCGGCTAAAAAAAATCTCCTCCAACTACCACTTTACACTGGAATCCGCTCTCGCATTGCTTCAGTGCAAAGGGTGTCTATAGATTTATGATGCCAGTTGTCTTTCTTCCCTCTCTTTACAACTTATTATATTTCGGACTATCTGATATACAAGCTTCCATTGTTCTTTCCCTTTAACTAGGTACGTCGTAAATGCGGGCAAGTCAAAGTCTTTCCCGGTTTCTATACGGAATTGTTCCTTAAAGACCTGTCATCGTTCACACGCAAATAGTGTATGTTGAACATCATCATCTTGACCACAATAGATGCATGATGCACTATCAACCCTACGACGATCGTATAAATATTTTCTAAAACACCCATGGCCAGACAATGCTTGACTCAAGTAATCGACTTCTCCATATTGTCTGTTTAACCATAGTTGTATGTCAGGTATTAACCTGTTAGTCCATCTGCCATATACTCCGTTATTCCATTTTTCTTGCCACTGTTGGAGAAGTTTTGTCCTTGCTAGATTTTTATCCATCCCATGGGGTATCTATCATATCGTTACTGTATGAGCAGATCAATAGGTGCTATTTCAGCTATAACTCCTATAGCCTCTCCAGATACAGTTCTGTATGTGCTGCATACCCTAATAGACATAATGCGTTGCATTCTGCGTAGTCTTTGCATTAGCTTGCGATTGTTCATGACTTTATGTCATGCCGGTGCAGCATACAACAGCTGCGAGTGTACAAGTTCAACACTAGCAAGTACTCTTCTTTTGGATGCTCTAGCACCTCCTACATTTGGCATGAGTAAGTCTAAAGCGGTGAAAGTGTTCTCGGCCTTGGTGATGGTTTTATTTATATGGTCCGCAAAATTCAATTTGGTATCCAGCCACATGCCAAAGTATTTTAAAGAATTACTTGGGTAAATTACATTTCCTTGTATATAAAACTGCACCGGAGATATTTTTATTTTTCTGGTCAGTAATACTGCTTCAGTTTTATGTGAAGCTACGGTTAACAGATTATTCTCCATCCAGGTTTACAACCCGCTGCATTGCCAAGTTGACGGTGTTCATCAGTACATCTTCATCCTTTGCACATGATACAATGGCAAGGTCATCTGCAAAGGCAACTAAAGTTGTTTTATCTGGCATTTCTATCCTCAGTAGTTCATACTTCGGTTCTACCTAGATAGATAGACAGTTAGGTACATTTTCATAATAACACGAGAGAAATTATGCATTATTTTTATTTTGTAAAAAAGAAGTATGATATAGCAGAAACCAATCCATCACAAAGCTATAACTTATAAATTATCATGTTTTTCTTTTATTTTCTATACATCTAATATACCGGCCACCAACAAAATTGTTTCGCAAAACTCTATCCCATAATAAATCCAAAGTAAGTATATATTATGTACCGGGTGTCCCACTAAGAAGAGCTCTAGGCCGTATCTCGAAAGTATTAGCCGTAGGGCTTACGGAAAAAAATATTTATAACTAAAGGGGCTATGAGAAACTGCTGGAAATTATTTTCAAGTTTGTAAAACGGCCACTCGGTGGCGCAACTGCTATGGAAAATAAGAAAATATATTTTTTATAGAATTTTGCTTAGATAATGGGTACTATAAATAATAGCTTCATAATTTTCAGTAAATTTTGGATTTTTTTTGTTAGAACTATTTTCCCCTATCTGCTAAAATAAAGTGGTGGGGGAAGGTTAGATCTATCTTTATTTAAATGTTCATAACACCGGGTTGGATGACCAGAATCCAACAAACAAGGACTTGTTTAAAAGAGCGTTTCTTACTCTATATTATACCGTAAAAATAATAATAATAAGGTTTTGAACGTAGACACTAGGGGGCGCTTTCTTACAATTTAACAAACATAGCGCGTTTTTAAAAAAAAATAAATACGATAGTATGTGTTATTTTAGGTGATAGTAAAGAGTAGTAAAAGCTTAAAAAGTCAGCGAAAACTGCATCTTGGTATCTTCTTTCAAATCGAAGATATTAGCAAAATTATAATAGATACCAAAAAATAAGCCCTTAATTACCTTATTTTTACAATACAGTATCAGTAGCCCTCTTGATTAGGCCCATTCTAACAAAAAAATAAAATAGAAACAGTTAGTTTATTTTAAAATCGACGAAATACCAGAATACCATAATACCAGATGTATTAATATCTAATAATTAAGATACTAATAATAGTGAACAAGAAACGATGATTCAGTGAAGTCATGGTAGGCTTTGGAAAAAAGTTGCGTTTCGCGTAATAGTATAAATGTCAAATTGTTATTAGATCAATATTTTGATAGTCTTGGCAGCGTTTTTTTATCTATTAAATGCTTTTTCAAAATGCCTTTATTATT